AGTGATAAATGCTGAAAGTGAAATTGCATGTGATTTTGGAAGATGTGAAAATAACGACAGCAGAATGAAGACAGGATGACAGTAGGCTTGCACAAAGCTGTGATACGAACAGTATTGAAAAAGTCTAATGAATTAAAAAAAACATGATAAAATCATTCCAACTTGTTTTAGTTTAAGTTTCACTAGGAACAGAAAGCCACTTATGGTTGAAATGGAGAATTTACTTCTACTTTAGATTGAAGACTGTAATAAAAAAAACTCCCATCGGTTTTGCTGGCATTCAAGCCAAAGTATTGAACTTAGTTGCACATTGAAAAGAAATAGTATTAATAATTACAGGGAGACTGGTGATCATGCAATTTTTTTAGCTTAATTTTGGAAGAAACATAAACATGAAGCATGCAACTGAAAACATTCAAGCACCATGGCAGGCAACAACAACGAATATTATGCTTGTAGTATGGCAGAACTTTAACTTCATTGTGGAAGTAACTTTGCAGGATTTGAATAGGCTACACATGGAGATGTAGAAGAAGGAGGTGACTGTGGGAGTGTTGACCCTGCCACTATTAGTGAACTCTAGATAATGCAGCCAGAAGAGCGTAGGTAAGATGAAGTCAGCATAAATAAGGAGAGTGGTTGTGATGAAAAGTATGAATGTCCCAGAGGAAATGACTCTGGCAAAAGCTTCACATTAAAGGAACTCTTGGAGATATCTCACAACATTGAAAATACAAAGGATAAAATATTGGTGATCCAAACTTAAAAAGGAATATGATGGTTTGCCAAGACATAAAAAAGGTACTTCATATTGTAGATTATATGAGAAGGCAGCAAGCACTGTTCAAACTATTCTTGATATGTTTTTTCAAATAAAGTGCTCTAATTTTTAATGTTTCTAAGTACTAAAAAATAATAGTTTTACTTTTTTATATTTTCCTATACATTTATAACTGATAATAAGAGAGTTTTTTAAGTTTTAATGAAAAAATTTAAAGGTCACGGAAAAGTTATAAGTATTCCCATTGATTTATGTGATCGCTTTGCACAGTTTTAGCTTGTATGGTTATTTTTATGATTCCACATTACCGCACATAGTGAGGAATGCCTGTATATCTTTCTCTGCTTGATTCCTTTGATAAGGGAAAAACAATCTCAATGACTCTCATAATAGGAGATTTTCCCAACTATCTTTTTGTTTTAGCTTCTTTAGGGTAAGACTGACTGGGATTCCAATTTTTATAAAATTACTTAGTGTTTTACATATTGTTCTGAAAAACTGCAGTTGAATTATAGATTTTCTTATTTGCAGTTCTGTTTGCCCCCTTCTATTATGTCATCACGTTCTCATTTTTAATAAAAAAAGTTTAGAACTGCAGGAGACAGTGTTCTTTAACTAATGATTGGTCAGATCCTCCCTCCCTTCCATTTTTATCTGTAGTCTTTGTGGAGATATTTGGAATTCCTAAAGCTTTCATGGACTAAAGTCAAAGGTAAAAAAGAAAAGTTAAAGTTTCCTATTGTAGGACATTAACATAACATCTGTTTTTCTCATTTTTTCCCGGAAGTTAAGTCTAAAGCAATACTAGAAATGCTAAGGTTTTGATGTTACAAATCTAACTTGGTGTTAAAAGCTGCTTAAAGCTCTACTGTTAGTAAATACTAAGTATACTATGGAAGGCAGAGCTTTCTGTTCTTAATGAGAATGGAAATTATAATAGTAATTTATAATTGGCAACTACTTTATAGCTTACAGTACACTTTCACTATGAGTTTTTTCATTTCTACTTTACATTAACATAATGAACATGTAACAGGTGTTTGTATTTCAGAAATGTGGATAGTGAGATTTTGAAGTTTGTGACTTGCCCAGGGTCACACAGGGAATTTATAGTCTTTTTTGCTGATAGCCTAGGGAGGTGGCAGGCTATAATGTAAAAGACTATACAGTGTTGTAGTGATAGACTTGAGCTTGAATCTCACCCTTATAACTTAATAGCTGTGCCACTTTGGTCAAATCACTTCTACTTTCTGAAATTGGTTTTATCATTGTTATATGAGAATTGTTTTGAAATGTAAATGCAATAATGTAGTACTGTCTGGCTTATAGTTAAGATAGTTAATAAACAGTAGCTTCTATTATGATTATTAATATGATAATATGTCATTCTCAGGAGGTTTGATTTAACATTTTGGGTCAGGTCAGTTATTTGCTATATAATAAATAATGTTGGGTGTGTCTCTGCTCTGCTTTGTTAACATTCTGTACTTATAGGTATCATAGAACTGACCTTATCAGGTTGTAATTGCCTGTTTACTTATTATCCTCCCTGACTAGACTGTGAACTCCTTGAGAAAATGGGTGAGATAGCAGTTTGTTTTCTCCTTTATTTATAGAGTTAATGAGAGAAGGTTGAATACTTTGAACTCCCCAATGAAACATTTAATATTACATTAGGTATTTGTGTTAGTAATAACATCTATCTAATTTCTGACACATTATTTCTAATAGATATTGCTGGTCTCTGTAGGAATCCTGATGTGCTTTAATGAAGTATAATTTTGGAAATGACTAATACAGTTTGATAGAAAAAATTATGTAATTTTAGTGCTAGAAGAACTCTTAAAGTTCATATATTATACCTCTCTTGTTAGAGAGGACTCTGCTTCCTCTGCCTAGAAGAGGAAGCAGAGGCCCAAGGGGCTTAGGTGAGTTTCTAAGGTCACACTGCTGAGGTTCATGGCAGAGTTTTTATTTATAAGTCAGGAAAAGAACAGTACATCAAAGTTCAAAAATAAGGTGATAAGTATTGCCGCTTAAGGAATATCCAAACCTCTAAGGCTCCTTTTTCAGTAGAGTTTAATATAGGAATATTATGCTAAGAAAATATAAAATTTTATTCATTTTACCATTTATCTGGAAGTGCTTGAGAAACAAAACAGTACAAACTTTAAATTTTCAGAAAGAGCAAAAAGAAAGGTAGATCCTGGCTGGGCGTGGTGACTCACGCCTGTAATCCTAGCACTTTGGGAGGCCGAGGTGGGAGGATCGTTTGAGGTCAGGAGTTTGAGACCAGCCTGAGCAAGAGCGAGACCCCGTCTCTACTAAAAAAAATAAAAAAATAAAAAGAAATTAATTGGCCAACTAAAAATATATAACAAAAATTAGATGGGCATGGTGGCGCATGCCTGTAGTCCCAGCTACTTGGGAGGGTGAGGCAGAAGGATCACTTGAACCCAGGAGTTTGAGGCTGCTGTGAGCTAGGCTGACACCACAGCACTCTAGCCTGGGCAACAGAGAGAGACTCTGTCTCAAAAAAAAGAAAGGTAGAGAGGATATATTCCAGACTGTTACCATTGGTTCCTAAGGGGGCTGAGAGAAAAGGGAGAAATTATTTTTTGCCTTATATACTTCAGTATTTATTGACTTATTACAATGAGCATATAATAGTTTTGTAACTTAAGAAAAACCTATAACATAGAAAATTGTTATAAACCCGTGAGAAATACAAGCTGAAGCAAAGTTTGTAGAGACATGTGAGACAAATCTGGCCTCATTGACCTGGCTTTTTAGTTAGAGAAACCAAATTTTATATCTGAAAAAGAATTAAATTTTTTATTCTTGCTTAGCAAGAATTTAAGCCAGTAGCAGAAGAAATAGTGCAGTGAAGTGCATGATTAATTATCATTTATTTGCACAGATAGTGTTTATTATAGGAGTTCATAGGAGAGAGACACTTTGTATAGTAATCATATTGAAATTATGAACGTTAGAGTATAATTATTTCTGTTTTACTTACTAAGCTTGTATTTGGACAGGACCAATCACTTACCTTGTTCATGTAAGAAAAAGCCATGCTACTAGGAAAGTAGACCTTTGGAAACAATAAAGATCAGATTAAGTGTTGACTGGTCAGCTGTCACTATTTGAAATTTTAAAACTCTTATGTTTAATTCAGTTACATTCTTTTCCCCTTCTATAAGGTGCCCCATAGCATATCTCTAAATTTTGAGAAGCTACAATAAAAACAGTCTTCTAAGTGTGGGTATGTGTTGGCAGAGGAACACTGTAGATAGATTGCATTGCCTCTTGAGTTACAAGACCTAATTAATAGCGATATGAATTTGAGTAAATTGCTTAACTTCTCTGTACTTTATTTTGCTTAGCTGTAAAGTGGAATTAATAATAGCTTAACAAATTTAAAAATCTTAGATATAGCTGAATTTTAGAGCTTATGAAAATCCTTTGCAAATAAAGTGGAGGTGTCCATAGTATTCCTAAAGCTTCTCTAGCAGTGGAAAGCACAGAGCAACGTAAATAATTAATAGCATATTAATGGATGTTGGATAATATCTTCACTAATATGGTACACATTTGGTAATAAAATTTATATAACTTCAACTGAGAATATAGTATTAAACTGAGAATATAGTATTAAACTGATATCGTATATATCTGAATATAGTATTTAACTTAAACTGAGAATATAGTATTAACATGTTACTCAGTTAACAAGACTGTTGAGGCTCAGAGTAATAGTTTACTTTCTGTTAATCTGGTTTGATGCAGAGAGAGCACAGTGTCGTCTTATTTTTAAAAACCTTCTTTTTGACTTAGCTGTGTAAATTGATCTTGACCTATGTGTTTGGAATAACTCTAAGGCAAATAAAATCTCTTTTCTCCCTGGAAATTAATTCATGTATCACTACATTATTTTCTTTCAATCAACAATTTGTGGCCATTTATATGGCGGATTCTGACCATTGGTAATCTTCTACATGTAATATAAAGATCTAGGAATTTAGATAACTTATTTCCATGTGATTTTATTATGTATCTCCATGAATTCTTATTTCTGGTGTTCTTAGGAAAAAAACTAAAGTTCTTCGTAAGTACACAGCTCAGATTGTGTAGTTATTATAAAAAGGCTTTTTGCTCACTGGGCTTCTATATATTCTTGATACCTTATTTCTCCTTTTTTTTCCCCCAATATTTTCAGATGTTTTGGAATGTTATTAAGCCCAGGTCGAAACGTGAAGAACAGTGACATGCATTTACTGGATATGGTAATGATAATCTTAAGCACCTTAACCAAGTTTAGATGATAGTTATTTTATATTTAAAAGTATTTTCTATTTAAAAATTTTGTCATATTGTCAAAATTGTTTCATTCGTATGTACAATAGTAATTAAACTTGGGAACCTAAACTTAAAGTTACTTGTGAGGGAGGAATTTAGGAAAATTTCTACCAGAACAGTCAGATGCAAGTTGAAAGCATATAAAAAGATAGTGTTACGACAATGTCCATCTATTCATCTTCTTACGGAGATGTCTGGCTTCTTAGGGAGATGTCTTTTCTTTGAGCCCCAAATAATAAGTACTTTATTATAACAAGCATCTCCAGTGTGAGTATGGTGCCTTTCATTTATTTTAATGCACTGCTGTTAATTTGAGTATTGTGATGGATGCTTTTGTTTTCTTTAAAGCATTTCCCTTTCTGAGCTTGATTACTTGTTCTTAGCAAAATATATTTACTGTGGGAGTGGTATTTATTTAAGGAATGCCTTTAAAGGTTAATATATATTGACGAGTTGGTATTTGTATAAAAGTAGTAAGCCATCTTAACTTTTAAATAGAAATACTTTCTAGTCTTGCAGTTAATGAAAACATTTACTTTATGATTTAGAAACGTAGGCAATAACTTTAAGGAAATAAGCATAAAGTTCCTTAGTGAATTGGGATTTTTATATTTATTAATAATAAGTACTATGTTTTTTTCCTTTCAGCTGTGTTATGCAAATGTCAGTTAAATATCACTAATCATATCAACTTTTCCTTTGAATTATTTCATGGTAATAGCAACATTGATTTCCTAGCAGTAATGGATTGGTTATTCAGGTTTTTGGGCATCTATTTGTATGCCAAGTGTTGTGTGAAGTGCTGGGGTTATAGAAGTGAATAAAATATATATCTCTTACCATGTGTAGCTTCATAATCTTGTGATGGAAACATACCTTTTAAGTATGTAACCATGGCAATGGATTAAGTGCTCTCTCTGGTGGTAAAATGAGCCACGGAAATATAAAGGAAGTACTGCCTGGTTACGTCAGATAAAGACAGCCAGTTGCATTGAATGTGGAAACATAAATTAGCTATCGATCCATCTCTCTTCCATCCGTCTTCACCACTTATCAGTACTGAATGTGGTTTTTACTAAAGGCAAGCCATAGCATTTTGGAACTTTGAAAATTCCATGAAGAAGTAGTTTAGGAGCATTGAGTTTTTAAAAGCTTTTAAGATCCTAGATCCTAGTTAATCATGGTCTTTCAGAATTTAAAAGATTAAGGCGAATTACTGGCAGAGGATTGTCCATAAAAATCTAAATTCAGATTATGGGATTATAGACCTAGTGTGAAATTCTGGGATCTCTTCTTCATGTCTGTCTAAGTTGCAGAGCAGTCCTCCACCTTTGAGTCCATATCAAAAACAAAGAGCATTCATGCTTCTGGACAGAGAAGGGGCTTACCTGCACAGCAAATAGGTGGGCAAATGGGAGGATTTATGTTTGTAATTATTAACAGATAATTGTGATTTGTCATTACCCAGTGCTGTTAATCTTCATGATATCTCTAATATGTGGTCATTGAGCCTCAGCTAGACTACATCTAATTAAAGGAACTTGTTACCTTATGTTAAAGTCTAAGGGAAAGTTCTGGTTATTACAAAATTATTTTTTGATAATCACCTGAAATCATATTTCTTGTAACTTTATCTGATTATTCTTACTTCTGCCTTCTAGAGCAAGATGTTAATACTTCTCCTCCTCCTATGACACACCCAAATACCATATGAACACTGTAAACAAATGTCACCTTCTTATATATTCTGACTAATTTTGAAAAAATATACAATTACATTTAACTTAACTTCAGAATTTGTGAGACTTTTCTATTTGTTTTGAACAATTTTTAAGCAACATAGATTTTCCTTCCCTGTGAATATTTCTAATAGCAGGGTGACTTGACGTTTTTCTAATTTAATAAATCTATAAATTTAGTTTAATATAAGATCTTCAGACAATGAAAGTCATATTTACCATTAATATATATGCATACTTATATATATTACAGTCATGCACTGTACAATGACATATTGGTCTAAGATAGCTTGTCTATATGACAGTGGGCCCCTAAGATTATAATACTGTATTTTTACTGTACCTTTTCTATGTTTAGATATACAGATACTTTCCATTTTGTTACAGTTGCCTACAATATTCAGTACAGCAACATTCTATACAGGTTTGTAGTCTGCAAGCAATAGGCTATACCATATAGCCAATTGTAGGCTATCCCATTTAGGTGTGTGTAAGTATAGTCCAGGATATTCGTACAATGATGAAATCGCCTAAGGAGGCGTTTCTCAGAATGTATCCCTATCATTAAGCAACACATGACTTTGTGTGTGTATAAATAAAAGCATATATAAACAAAATTAGTTTTTTGGAGGGGTACAAGTAACAGAGACTCCATTTTCTTCCAATAAGAAAAGTATTTTTAGTCAAGATACTTGTAGGAATAGGGAAATGAGAATTTTTGACCCATAGTTATTGATATCTATGAAAAGCCTAACAGCAAGATACCAAGAAAAGCAGAAAACCCAATAGTGGCAGGTTTCTTGGAACTGTAACACAATTTAAAATCTAAAGATGGCTCAGAAAGTTTGTGGATCTTTACAAGTAGCCATTTATTAACACTAGACCAGTTGCTGGACCCCCAGTTAAAAATACATTTTATTTATGATTCTTAGCAGTGGATCAAAACAAAACAAAAACTAAGAAAAAAATACATTTTATGTTGTCATCCAGTACACTTGTAATGTGTATGTATGTGTAAAAAAGTGACAGTAAAAGTTTCATTAAACGGTTCATCTGTGATAACCTCTCTTTTTCTCTTCTCCTTATTTCCTCCCCACTTCCTTTGCCCTTTCATCTCTGATCCCACTCCCTCTGCTTATCCCTTCTTTCCTTCTTGCCTCCCAGTATCTGCCTTGGTTTTTTGTCTGCATGATTTATAATTTTTAAGGTTTTTTAATGTTTATTTTCTCCATTTCTTTCTTACCACTTAGCAGTTTCCAAATATTCTGCTGTTCTTTATATATTTTTTCCTACTTCATAATTTGTTGTATTATAACTTTGTCTTCTATGTGGCCTATGATGGCCATTCTCATTAAAACCTTTTGGCTTCCACTGCTGAGTGCCCACTGTCTTTGGTTTTATTTGTTAATTGAAAGAGATTTGGTTTGGTCTAGCACATCTTTTTTTGGACTCAAGCAAAAGTTCTAGTCCAGAAATGGATTGGGTTCTTTTGGGTCAGAATTCAATTCCTGTTCTGATCAAGGGCCTAGTTAGGGGTTGGAGTTGGGGGAATGGATGGGAGTGTGTGTGTGTGTGTGTGTGTGTGTGTGTGTGAGAGAGAGAGAGAGAGAGAGAGAGAGAGAGAGAGAGAGACCTTGAACACATGAGTGTGTTAGGGGTGCTAAGTGGATTTTTTTTACAAATGGCCTTAAGTATACTTCATCTCTGGAATGAAGGGTCCCTGCACTCAAGCTATATAATCTGATTAGTGAAATATTACTAATATATTAGAAAAATATGCACAGTGATTACCAAATGACTGATATAATTTTATAGGGGTTCAGAGGGGGATCTGTGAGGGGGTAATAATAAAAAAAAAAGAAAAGCTTTTGTTTTAATCTGACCCTTTTAGTACTCTTTATTCATAATATAAGGAACTTGGTATAGAAAATTGAAATACTGTAGATACCATTCTTTCGCATATGCACATACTTGTATTCTTGCGTGCTGTTCTTCCATGGGACAGTCTACTCCTTGTGTCCCTGTACATATATATCCAACCCATGTGACCTTGCTTTTGCTGTAGGAGTTGCTAGCTTTTTTTGTGAGAGTCAAGAACTGTCTTGGTAAAAGTCTTAAAGAACGGAGGTCATGAAGAAGAAAGAGAGAAGGAGGGAGTAAGTGAGGGAGAGAGTTAATATACTTGGATATTGCTCATAAGCCAAAATTAGTTTAATATTAACTTATGATTATAAGAAAGTATACAAATATCTGTCATAGATAATATAAAATATTAATTTGGAGGTATTAATTGCTATAAAGTAAATTAATATTTTAAGAATATATTAAAAATTAGACCATTAGAAGAAAAATATTAACTTTCCCCCCAGGATTAGCTATTAATTCAGTTTAACTGTCTTCAGTTAATTCTGTATTATGGTTTTAATAGAAAGAATGTATATCCTTATATGTGTAAGTATATGAGATTTTGACAACCAGCATAAGATCAAGTTAAATATAACTTCATAGCAATGTTATGTTTTGTGATTTAGCATCATTTAGGCTCATAGGCATGCTTCCTTTTACCTAAGAGGTACATATCCTTAAACAGAAACTGTGTTTGAAGAAAGCTGTAGGAGAATTTAATATTTAAAGAGAATTTAATATTTAAAGAAATGCTTTTGTAGGGTAAAAAAATTTACAATGAAAATAAAGGCCTTGTTTGATTGCTAATCTAAATTTTAATAAATTAGATTGCTTAAAGTAAGATATAATTTAAAGTGGCAGTAGTCTTGATATATCTATTATCAGTGATTCCTGTTTGAACTTTTATAGGAATCCATGGGCAAGAGCTATGATGGGAGAGCTTATGTTATCACTGGCATGTGGAACCCCAATGCACCGATATTTCTGGCACTTAATGAGGAAACCCCAAAAGGTGACTTTTCTGTAAAAAATACCTTTTTATTTGCTTTAAATTTTACATTATGAACAATGTTGTCATGTTTTAAAAACATTTTGGCATTTATTTAAAATGAAGATATTCTTTTTATTTAGAATTAGAGGTTCCTTTTTATACTTTATGCTACTGTGAGAAAACCCCCACTATTCAAAAGAATCCCTATAAAAGATATGTAAATTAATTTAATTAGATTATGTAGAAAGCATTTAGGCTTTGTTTTTCATATATCACCATAGAATTGTTTTAGCTGGGGGGAATGATGGAGGAATATGAAAAATAATGATGAAAGGAAACAATTTCTGGAGTTTTGCATATCTTTGATTATTAACTATTTTTAACATTATAGATTTCTTATATTTTTCATTTATTAATTATTGGTTCCAATCTTTTGACCTTTGGGATTTTAGTAATATATATTAAAGATTTAATTTGTGGCAAATATTTTTTTCCTGGTTTTTTATGTTTTTGTTTTATTTAAAATGTCTAGCATTGGATAGAATTTACAAATGTTAAATAGTCATATTTGTCATTTTTCCATTTTTTATTCTTTATCCAGATATCTCTTAATTGCCTATGTTTTTGTGCCTCTCTATTGTCTGCCTTTAAACTAAATTTAAAATTTTACTTGTTGAGTTATATTCTTACCCTAAATGCTTTACTGTCAGTCAAACAATGATTTATGTGTAGAATATCATGGATTAGTTTGTTTTATCTTCAGTTTTAATATTATTTAGTTTACACCCACAGTAGACTTTTTGCTAAATTATAGGCATCATTAGTGAATACTGAATGGTAATATAATATGTTAATGAAAAACATTTAAATGATAATTTTTCTCTAATTTCCTTAAAAAGAGTATTCACTACTTCTGTAAATTGCATACATTTGATCACACATCAAGCTGTCTAAAAATGAGGGCTAAAAAGAGGAAAACAAATTATATAAAATTTAGCTTTTCATATATTAGCAAAAAAATAATTTTTACACCCACAGTTTGTTATTTCTGGAGACATGTTTGTAAATACCAGCCTGTAACCTTCTTTCTTATAATCATTCAGAAAGAAAACACAAAAATGAGAAAAATAAGCCTGTTGGTAATTTTTAAGAGTAAGAGATAGAAATTTCAATTATGAAGTTATAAAAGTAGTTTTTATCTGTTTTTAATATAACACATAGTTTAATTTCATTATGCATTTTAAAATATACATTTGGTCCTCAAATAAAAGAAAATTCATTTATAATTTATTTGTTCGATTAAAATAAAGTTTAATAATATTCTGACCCAAAATATAATGTGTTTTAAACTTAAAGTCCTTTCATCTACCACACAAAAATGTTGCCCTGATTTTTAAAATGTCCAAATGGTACCCTTGAAATTACATTTTACTTAGAGAAATCATGAATCAAATAAAGTTTGGTTTTTATGGGTGAAATTTAGGCCCTGAGAGATGAAATGTCTTGGATCTTTCTGCTGTACTAAGATCCAGTTGATTTTTATATTCAGTCTTCTGTTATTCTCTCTTACCCCTCTATAGTTCTCTGGACTTTAAGGTCTTCTAGGTCAGATACAAGTATAGAGAGCCTTAGATTCTCTTTGATTGGCAGGTGTATACTTGTATTTACTAAGAATGCAATAATTTTTTTGTTGAATTTGATAATATTAATAGAAGTGTAGTTGAGTATAAATGTATAATATTTGTGAGAAAACCACTATTGAAGGTTCTTTTTTTCTAATGATGGGCTTGGTTATTTGGACTTTCCTTTAATTGTGAATGAAATATATTTTTAAAATATTTAAGAAGCAATTAAGAAATTATAAAATGATATGAAATGACCAGGCTATAGGTTAAAAAAAACCCAATGAATATTAAGCAGCATAAATAAAATAAAATGAAATCCAGGTTTCGACCCATCATAGAGGACTGAAGAAAAATCAGTAGACACTGGCCTTAAAGATTCTAGATTCAAATTAAATGAAGTAGACGGTTTAAATAATAACTAGAATTTTGACTGATAACACTGTACTATTGTTGTCTAAAAGCACTTTTCAGGACTCTGATTTTATATATGTATAAAAATCATATGTAACATATATTAATACATATATATAACATATATAAGTATATATGAAAACTACACAGAACTATTTCTTTGGCACTTTGATTAATTATTTTCCTGAAGGTTAATATATATTACAAATGATGAGGGTACTGACAAATTTCCAGGGACTGCCCTTAAAAGGGTACAACATGGAAATATTTATAGCAATAACATATTACCTATATACAAGTTTAACACAGAGAAGGCTGTGCTTCTCTTCTGATTTGATAGTTCTTCCCATGCAACTCATCCAACAAACCTAATAATTTCTGGGTTTTTTTATACAAGGACAAATCTCCGTGTTTTCCAGAGGTTCTCTGGAAAATCTGATAGTTTTGAATAACATTTTATTTTATTTATTTTTATGTCAAGGATCTGATTTGGGGAATGAAAAAAGAAATTTGTCAAATTTGCACATTTGATTAAGATAGGATAATTAGTGCCTAAAATACTTGGTTACTTATTTAATCAAAGTGATAATAGAACATTTAAAAATAATTATAGATGGTAATACGATTGTAAAGAACCTTAATTCTTTCATAAGTAAGGAAACTTTGTTTTCTAAATAATCAAAGAGTAATAAAGCTGGAATAAAACCCAGAAAATTTCTACTACAGATAAGCGAGTATACATGACTGTGGCAGTGGATATGGTAGTCACGGAGGTGGTGGAGCCTGTCCGCTTTCTCCTGGAGACAGTAGTTCGTGTGTACCCTGCAAATGAGCGATTCTGGTACTTCAGCAGGAAGACTTTCACAGAGACTTTCTTCATGAGGTTGAAACAGGTAGGAACTTTTTGTTCTTTTCATACAGTAACACGTATTTTTCTATCTTTCTTTTTGAATGCCCAGATAATTCGAGAAGTAGCAATGAATTTTCTCAGAAAATTAAATAATACTCTAAGTCAACCAAGACAGTGTTTGAGAAATCCACTTCTAGGTAATATAAGCTAAAAAACCCAACTAGTGTAACAATTATGTACGTTTTCCCTAGAAATCTGTTAAGTGTGAACATACTTAACAGAAATATTGATTCTGCATATAAAACAACTTTGCCTTTTATGTACAATTACTTGAAACCAAAAAGACAGAGCACAGAAATATCATATGCTTATATAGTTACAGTAAAACAATTTCCAAGGAATACCTAATTTCCATAGTTATTTCTGCCTCTAATATTAGATAAGCTACATTATACGTACATCTTGTTTGACTCATCAGTAAGGTTACAAAATTATTTTAATATTAAATAAACAAAATTAGGGGTTTGTGACATCTTTAAATGAGGCAATTAGTAGATAAAATATAAAATTTTTGTTTTGTAGTAAAGGCAGAAGGTAACAGTGAAAAATAATTTGAATTCTAATAGTGTCGGTTTTTAAAAAGCAGGGTAAAATGCTCTATTATGGAAATCCTTTATATGCTGTTTTTGTTAGTACTCCCACTCTGTCAAGTTTTAAAATTCTAGCTGCTTCATACGCCATAGTATGTGAACGGTAATGAGGTAAAAGCAAGCACTAGCACAGTGAACAAATATAGAAACCACTTATCTATTTTCATATTAAAAAACTCATCATAGCTCAGTTAGGCTTCATATACTAGATACTTTGAAATGATTGTGGTTTTCATCTTTCGTAAAATTATTATAGCTGTGGTTTGACTCAGCTTTTATTACTGTGTGGACTGTTTTTGCAACATCTTCTAATGAAGATAGCAATATTCAAAACTTCAGTCTCTTGAGCATCTTTTAATATTTTGTTATGAGATTTTTTTCCCTCTCCCTCCTTCCCCATTCTTCTGTCCTTTCTTTTGTTTTTTGGTAGCTGAGTTGTTATGACTATCAAGGGATTCTTCATTTTGAGCCAAAAGATTATTCAGAATTGCATAATAGTGAATAAAAGGAGCTATTCTCCCTTCTTTATATATAAATATAAAATATATAAAAATCTATTTGATATTACATATATAAAATATAGAGTAGTTGTTTATTATTACATGTTATTTTCATATTTTTAGACTTACTAATGTTGATGACTTTGGGTGGTAAGTACCAGGAGAATTTTCTTAGTAATAACACATTAAAAATGCTACATGAGACCACTTCATATGAATTAAAAAGATTAAATTAGATTCACGTGTAATAATCAACTCTATTAAATGTGAGATTGATTTAAATGAATCTTAATTATGTATGAAGAAGATGGTTTCTAACTGTAGTGCCAAAATCTATATTAAAGAAAAAGTGTTGAAAGCAATGGAAAATAGATTATTGACTTGTCCACATATGAAGACATACCTACCTTGAGTAGAAATAATTAAAATGAAAACATTGAAATCTAGAGAAGTGAATTGTGAAAATTCATATGAGTGATTATTGTGAGAGCTGAGACTACAACTAGTTACCTTAAACCAGACTGTGCTGCTGTAAGGCCAGACTAGCTTCTTCCTGCAATTCCAAGACTGGCTTGGTTTGTGGTCATTGATGGTAATCTGGGGATGTTGGTTTAGACTAGACAACACTGGTAGAAGGAATTTAGGTGAACATTTAGTGTAATTAAAAGTTATGTTTGAAAATCTAGGTCCAGGTCTTTACTACTTTAAAGGATTTAAGGGAGAATAAGTTAATTTCAGTTCTGGGTGATTTCGACTTTAGACACCTACAGCTATTTCTTTCATTCTGAGACCATTGGATTTATGGAATGAACCCTGAATTAGACCTGTGCCCATATGGGATTAGACCAGACTCCTGAGGGCAACACCAAGCTAAGATGGGATTTCCTATTCCAAATTATTTTTTCTTGGAAGTTTTCTTGTTCTCAAATATAGCAGGACTTTTATCTGTGGGCAGTGGGAGTGTATGAAAGTGTAATTTGTTCCTGATTGGTTTTCACTCAGAGCAAAATGGCGTTTTCATTTCATTTATTTCTGCTTATCGGGAGCAAGGAGAACATTTAACAAGGGGACTGAAACTGGAGAGTTTGGGAAAATTATCTGGAGAAAGGCATTTGACCTGAGCCTAACAGAGGAGTAGAATTAATTAGGTGAAAGTAGGAAACAGCAAGTGTAAATGCCCCGAGAGCTAAAGACTAGGGAGCACAATAGTTGATGAACAGAGGCCAGGTTCCTGATCTGGTGAGACTTTGCAGTCCATGTTAAGGATTCTTTTATAAATCAACTTTATTGAGGTATAGGTAGCACACAATAAAATGTACTCACTTTAGTTGTACATTTTGATGAGTTTTGAAGAACCACTAAAATTAAGATATGCAATATTTCCATCAGTTTTGAAAGTTGCCTATCCCAGCCAATCTTCCCCATTCTCAACCTCAGGCAACAGCTGATCTGCTTTCTGCCATTATTGATTAGTTTTTTTTTTTTCTCTAGAGTTTCATATACAGCAACTGGAATCCTACACTTCTATTGTGTAAAGCCTTCTTTCATGTAAGGCATCCATGTTGTATATCAGTTGGACATTCAGTTTATTGTTGAATGTTATTACTTTGTATGGACATGCTATAATTTGTTCATTCATTTGTTGAAAATTTGAGTTTTTTCACTTTTCAGCGAGTATGGTTAAAGCTGCTGTGTATGTATCTCTGTGTGGATATAAGTTTTCATTTCTTTTGAGTAGATACTTAGAAATGGAAGTGCTGTGTGGTATGGTAAGTAGAAACTGCCAAACAGCTTTGTTCTTCTTTTTTAAGATTTCTTTGGCTATTGAGTTCCATATGAATTTTAGGATTGCCTTTACTATGTCTGTGAAAAATGCCATTGGGATTTTGATAGGGATTGCATTGATTCTTCTTTAAATGTTTGGTGGAATTCAACAGTGAAGCTATCAGGTCCTGGCCTTTGTTAGGAGACTTTATTACTAATTCAGTCTTCTTATTCTTTGTTGCTCTGTTCAGATTTTCTGTTTCTTCATAATTGAGTCTTAGTAGCTTGTTTGTAGGAATTTATCCTTGTCTTCCATGTTAACCAATTTTTTGGCAGATAATTGTTCATAATAGTCTCTTATGATCCATTGTATTTCTGTGGTATCAGTTGTAATGTCTCCTCTTTCATTTATGATTTTATTTGAGTACTTTCTCTTTTTTTCTTAGTCTAGCTAACAGTTTGTCAATTTTATCTCTTCAAAAAACCAACTCTTAAGATTTTTATCTTTTCTGTTGTTTTTATATTCTCTACTTCATTTATTTCTACTCCAGTCTTTATTATTTTTTCCTTCTGATAATTTTGGGTTTAGGTTTTGCTTTTTTTTTCTAGTTCCTTGGGATGTAAAGTTAGGTTTCTTGGAGCTTTCTTTTTTCATAATGTAGGCATTTAACATTATAAACTTTCCTCTTAGAAATGCTTTTTCTGTATTCCATAAGTTTTGGTGTGTTATGTTTCTGTTTTAGTTTTTCTCAGATATATTTTTATTTCCCTTTTGACCCATTGATTGCTCAGGAGTATGTTCTTTAGTTTATATCTCTGAATTTTTCTAAGTTTCCTACTTTATTGATTTTTAGTTTTATAGTATTGTAGTCAGAAAAGACACTTGATACAAATGTAATCTTCTTGAAATTGTTAAGACTATTTTGTGTCTTAATATATGATTTATTCTAAAGCATTTCCGTGTGTGTGTGTGTGTGTGTGTGTGTGTGTGTGTGTGTGTGTGAAGAATGTATTTTGCTCTTGTTGGACAGAATGTTCTTTATGTGTCTGTTAGGTCCATTTGGTCTGTAGTGTTGTTCAAATCTGCTATTTCTTTGCTGATTTTCTATCTGCATGATCTATCAGTTCTTCAGAGCATGGTATTAAAGTGCCCTCTTTTATTGTATTGCCCTTTATTTCTTATTTCAGTTCTCTTAATAATTGGTTTATATATCCAGGTGATCTCAGGTGCATAAATATTTACAGTTATATCTTGTTGATGAATTGATCCTTCTGTCATTATATAATGATCTTCTTTGTCTCTTATGACAGTTTTTGACTTAAAGTCTAGTTTGTCTGATTCATATATGCCACTGCTGTTCTGTTTAGGTTACCATTTGCATAAAATTATCTTTTTCTATCTCTTTTCCTTCCCCCTACATGGGTCCATAAAGCTAAAATGAGTCTGTTGTAGGTAGTGTATTGTTGGCTCTTATTTTTGTATTCATTCAGCCACTCTGTATCTTTTGATTGGATAGTTTAATCTATTTGTATTTAAAGTAATTATTGGTAGATAAGGACTTGTTATTGTCATTTTATTAATGATTTTTGCTGTTTTTTTTAGTTCTTTTGTTCCTTTATTTCTCTTCTGTTGTCTTTATAATTTGATGACTTTTTGTTGTGGTATGCTTTCATTCCTTTCTATTAATCTTTTTTAAAAAATATTTCTACAACATAAAGGGATCTATTAATTTTTTGTATATCTATTACAGGTATTTGCTTTTCACTTCCCATGAGGCTTACATAAAATATCGTATAATTATTATATCTTATTTTAAGCTGATAATAACCGTAATGGCATATAAAAACACTATATTTTTACTCCCTCTTCATATTTTTGATGTTATTGATGTTACAGTTTACATCTTTTTTATATTATATACCCATTCACAATTTATCATAGCTATAGTTATTTTTATAATTATTTTTGGGGGGACAGAGTCTTACTGTCACCCTGGCTATAGTACAGTGGTATCATCATAGCTCACTGTGACCTCAAACTCCTGGGTTTAAGCAATCCTTCTGCCTCAGTCTCCCGAGTAGCTAGAACTACAGGCACACACCACCATGCCTGGCTAATTTTTCTATTT